TGGAATTGTAATGTGTATTCGGTTCCAATGTATGTTGGGAATATGTAATTTGTCTTTTGATTTTACAGGGGCTAACAGTTAAGATATTTTTCTGAGTCTCAGAAGAGACTTTGGACTGTGGACTTTTGAATGGTAGTGAGATAATGACTATGGGGACTTTTAAAGTTGGACTAAATGCATTTTGCATTTTATATGGTCATGAGCCTATGGGGGCCAGGGGGTAGAATGTGGTGGTTAAAATGAAAATGTCCCCCATAGGCTCCAAGTATTTGGACATTTTGTCCCAAGATGGTGGCCCTGTTTTGGGAGGTTTTAGAAGGTGTGGCTATCCTGGAGGAAACATGTCACTGGGGGTGGGCTTAGAGAGTTCTTAAGCCTTGCCATATCTCCAGTTGCTCTCTTGGTTCCTGTGCCTACATGATGATGTGAGAGCTTAGCTTCTGCTGCTCCTGCTCCAGCCACCTCCAGCCACCATGCCTCCCTGCCATGACAAACTGTAATTCTGGGACTGTAAGCTCAAATAAACTCCTCCTTCTATAAATTTCTTGGGTCAGTGTTTCTATCACAGCAACAGAAAAGTGACAAATACACCATCATGAGGTGGAATGTGGTTCTCTGCCCTGCAGTGGTATAGGGCAGTAGTAAGGAGGAGGGAAGCCTGGATTTGAATTCTAGCTGTGCTTCTTACCAGCTATGGGACTTATTTAAGACTGTATTTCCCTTGTTGGCAAAAAGGAAGAGATATTTCATGTTCATGGGTTGCTGTGAAATATATATGAGAGGTAAAGTGCATAGGTCAGTTTCTATGTGCTCAGTAGCTGGCACCCTTTTCCAGTGGTTAATATTTCCTAAATGCATATTCTGTGTCAAGCATCCTACATGACTCTCTCAGGGATAATTTTTCCAGATCATTTTCCTTCTTAGAAAACACTGTTGTTAAAAATGGGAATTGATGGCAGTGGTCTGGAGGAATGCGCTCTCTTTTGTTGCTGTGTTTGGGCTATTACAACAAAATATAAACAGTAGAAACTTAGCTGTTCCAGTTCCAGAGGCTGGCAAGTCCAAGATCAAGTAGATTCTAAGTCAGGCAAGCATCTACTTCCTGGTTTATAGGAAGTCATCTTTTGCTCTGTTCTCGTGTGGCAGAGGTTCAAGGATCTCTCTGGGCCCTTTTAGAGAAAGGCATTTTAGATAATACTACTACAATATTTACATATATTTACATATATATACATATATATATGGGGGCTAAAGATTTCTAAACACAAAATTCACTTATGTTTTGAAATTAATTTTATACAATATTTTTAGTGCACCTGCATTTGGACTGGGATGAATTGCATGTCCTCAACTCTGAATTTTCCATTTGGGAATCATATTGGTGATTTAAAAAAAAAAAACCCAACAACTTTCACATTTTGGATAATTTAGAATTATAGGGTTGGGGCAGTAAACTTGTAGTTTAAAAAGAAAGATATCTGTTCCTCACATCATAGTTGTATCTGCCCATATGGCTGGGCATGGCTATTTTGTACAAGCCAGAAAAGCCACAGCTCTGCTTCTGTGAACAGGTGGCTTCCATGTTGCTCTAGCTCTCCTAATCACAGGAATCTAGGAAAACACCAAGGGAGTGGAAATTCTGTTTACATTTCACTGCAATGAACTCAACCACAACTAACAATATTTTTTTCCAGGTTCTTTAGGTAAGTTGCTATAGTTCAAACAGGAGTGATATAATCTTTGAGATCTTAGGCCGGATCTTAACATCAAGACCAAGTATGTTGTTAGATGAAGCTATACCTATTTCACAGACAGGAAAACAGCAGCCAGCTAACTTCAGAGATTACCCATTCTACATTTATGCAAAGTTTCTTTCCCATTTAAGCAATATTAGAAAAACACAAAACAATCAAAACTGAAGAACTGAAATAATCAAGAAAAAATAATCAGGAAGGCAGACAGAATGAACACTAAATGGGACTGGCAGGTTTGGGAACGGTAGCGCAAACCTGCTGCCTGACTTGGGTTAATCTCTCCACGTTCTATCCACCTGTGTGAGATCCTGGACTAAAATGACCTTCCTTCTGGTTCTAACATTCTACTTGGAAAACAGTAAACAAAGCACATGTAAATGGGGAGTGAGTAACTTTAAATATTCCTTCAATTAAGGGAAAGTGAAGAAAGTCCTGGTGACCCACACAAGGAAATCCACTGAACCGATTGTAGGCTCAGAAGGCAAGCAGTGACCTGCTGGAGAGCCCCACCTGCTTTTCACATTCCCCAAATGTTCAACCTCCTGCCTAAGCTAAAAGCAGAGAAAGGGAAATTTTGGATGGAGGGAAGAGCCTGAAGGGGGAAGTCGAACACTAAATGGGACTGGCAGGTTTGGGAACGGTAGCGCAAACCTGCTGCCTGACTTGGGTTAATCTCTCCACGTTCTATCCACCTGTGTGAGATCCTGGACTAAAATGACCTTCCTTCTGGTTCTAACATTCTACTTGGAAAACAGTAAACAAAGCACATGTAAATGGGGAGTGAGTAACTTTAAATATTCCTTCAATTAAGGGAAAGTGAAGAAAGTCCTGGTGACCCACACAAGGAAATCCACTGAACCGATTGTAGGCTCAGAAGGCAAGCAGTGACCTGCTGGAGAGCCCCACCTGCTTTTCACATTCCCCAAATGTTCAACCTCCTGCCTAAGCTAAAAGCAGAGAGAGAAAGGGAAATTTTGGATGGAGGGAAGAGCCTGAAGGGGGAAGTCGAGGCCTGAAGGCTGCTGGTTCAGAGTCCTGTCCTCAGCAGAGCTGCTTAGCTTCAGACCAACTATGATGTGCTGGGAGGAAATGAAGAAACCTTTCTTCTTCACTCTCCACACCAGGTGTGTGGGGACAGCCACATGGGCCAGGAAGCCACAGCCAATATACTGTGAACCCCACACCGAGGATGAGAGCTTATGGATTTAGTCAACCTCTTTAGAATTTCGTTTTCTTTTGTATGTCATCCATGCTTTCTAGAACAAAGAAAAATGTAAATATACTGAACTTTTACCAAGTGTCCAGATCATTCTAGACAGGAATCAAATACCTCATGTCATCTTCACAATAGTGAGAGAGGTTTATGGTTTCAAGTGAAGAGGGCTTAAGTGACTTTCTCACCCAATGGGAAGCAGAATTTAAACTCAGATTTTTAACACTTTCGTTATTCCCAGAAAGTCAGTATTGCAAAAGATTACTGGTCAAAGTGTATCCAACTTTGAGTGCAGGACACCCAGTCTAAGATCAGTGCACAAAGTGAAGGGTTAGTCAGAAACTACATTCTGACCAGGAAGATCTTCCCAGATATTCCTTTGTTAACTGCCCACTTCATCTGCCCTGCTTCTTTTCTAAGCAATCAACTGATTTTTAAAGTGACTCTTTAAAACAATGGAGCCACACAAACACCAATCTTGGGAAATCACTTGTTCATTTTTACTGTGAAATGGGAGGTTAGGTCAAAGGATGGCAAACCCCTAGTCATTTCAGCTAGGACCCTTGGGTGACTCATGGAAGAGGAAAGCTTCGAAGTGGACAGTGTGCCTATTATTGCAATGCACTGGGCACTTCTGCCCATACTTTGGCCTGCAGCCCTTCTGCATCTGCCCCCTCCCCTGGAGTGATTTCACTTGAATCTGGGAGGAAGTTTTAAACTTGAAGACAATCCTACCCTGCTGGGGCAGCTGAAGCCTATTTACCAGGGCCTGAAACAGCCCCTGGCTGAGAAGTCAGCCTCAGAGAGTGGTCGCCCCTCACCCTCATAGTAAGGTGCTTCAGGCTTGAGGGGTCAAAGGAGACTAACGGAGTGGGACTTGGGGCATGAAACAGATCACCTGGAGGAGAAGCTGAAGGCCTGACCTTGGTTATTGTGGTTATCAGCTTCCCGGTTACTGCTGTGACTTGTTTACAGCAACACACAGACTTCACACAAGTGAATATTAATGTATGAAAAGGCGGAGTCAGTGACTTTTTACAACCAGTAGGAAAGTGCGCAAGCTGCAACTTGAGAAAGTTGCTTAAGTCACTTCATTGAGACTAAGATATTTGCCCAAGGGCTGAATAGAATCAGGCCTCCAACTTCAGAGCGGGGCTGGGTTTCGGGGAAATACTCTTGTGAAACCACCAGTGGAGAGCGCGCTGGAGCAGCAGGCTAGATAGAAGTCGGCGGGCGGCAGGCGACCACCACAAGCTAGCCGAACGCGCGGCCCAGAAAAGGGGCGGGGGGGACATGTAGGGGCGGAATTGGGGAGGGCGGCTCCTGCGGGGCGCGGGAACCCTGCTGCGCGGCTACTCCATCCCAAACTACGCCCGTCCGACCGGCCTGGCCGGTTTACTGCAACTCACCCAAAGGAATTTGGGTGGCACCTCTCACTCCCGGTCCCAGAGGGGCCCAGCCGGCCCTGAGCCCAAGATAGCATCTGGGCAGGGAAATCTGCTCCCGCCTCCTCCCCACCGATACTCACCAGTGGCTTCGAGACCCGCCCCGCGGCTGCAGTCCCCTTCTCGCCCCGGATGCGGCAGCACCAATTCCTCCAGGAGTGCTGTTAGCCCCAGAACTCCTAATACATACCAGAGATGGCTCATATGAGGTGAGGGGACTAGAAGTCGCCCAGCCATTGATTTCCTAGGAGTCCTGAGAGAGGTCTTGGATCCTCTATCTGACTGTAAAAACTATAAATGAAGTTCGGATTGGCTGTTCAAAAGTAGTCACAGGCTTCCCGCCATGCCCAGTTTCTTTTAGCAACCTCCTTCAAACCAAACCCCCAGCCCAGCCCCTACTGGGAATGAACCCCTAGCCCTCCCAACGACTAGGCAAACACACCACCTCAGTACCACATCCTCAACCCTCAGGAAACACAAGTGGCAATAGTAAATGTTAGTGGTGTTCGAATTCCAAATATAAACCCTAAGAATTAGACAAAGAACGAAGTGGTATACAACTGGAAGGGAATTTTCCACAGCCCACCGTTAGGTTTGTGACTTTCCCATATTTTATTAAATTTTTAAAAAATCACAGCAGCATTATCAAAGACATCTGTACAAACACTTTACAAAAGAGAATATTACTAGTATAAGCCGCACTCAGGGCAAGCAGAGGAATAGACTAGCGTCTAGGACAGTGTGCACTCCAACAAAGATATCTAAAACGTGTTCACACAGCGGGAGGGCTTCTTTCCATACAAACGGTGGCAAAAAAGGCCCTGCATAGGCCCAATTAGTAAACTCTTCTTCCCGGGAAGGCCATGAGGATGGAGTTCCTCAGGTAACCTAACCCTACACCGTAAATGCGCTGCTTTCCCATTTAAGCCTTTGAGAGGAATTCAAGTTGCTGGGTTGTCTGGCACTTGCTTCTTACAGAGGACGCGGCGCCATCATTCCCCTAACTCCCGGGGTCAGGTTTCTCGTGAGTGAACCGAAAGACAAAAGAATTTCAGAAATGCTTCCTTCAAGATAGAAGGCCGAGCCCGGGATCCAACAAACTTGTTTGTGGAGAGGGACGGGGAAGGCAGGATTGGGAGGAGAAATACCTTCTTTTGGCCAAGCACTCAATGAGGTGACACCCTGGTTAGGGGGGACGAAGAAATACATTGCCCACCCCTGCTCTGCCTGCCCGGCACCTACAAGTTCGGTTCACTCCTCATCTCCCCCAGCTCCTTTATCTCCACTTTTCTGTACTTCCCTGACTTCCTCCGATTGCTGACCACCAGGACGACCACGCCGGCCACTAGGGCCACCGCGACCACCGCGATGACGGCGATGAGGCCGGCGGTGAGGCGCTTCATGGAAAACTGGGGGGGCTTCTCGTCCAGATAGTAGATGAGCGTCCGCTCCACGTGCAGGGGCTCGCCACGCACCCGCACGTCCAGGCCGTGGCGACCCAAGAACAGCGACTCGCCTTTGACGTCCCTCTCGAAATAGTAGGCGGCGTCGGCGATGTCCACATCTCCGGGTCCCTTCTGGGATGCGTTCTGCCGCAACTCGATCTGGATGGTGGGCTCCTCGTAGTGCACCGCCGACAGGAAGTTGGGGTGCAGCTGGTAGCGTTCGCGGAAGAGCCGCCGCAGCTCTGCATCCAGGTCCGAGTGGTTGAAGGCGTGGTCGGTCCGGCGGTGGCGCAACTCGATGAGGATGTGGTGGGTTCGCACCAGCTCGTCGCAGCGCAGGCTCAGGTCGCCCTTGTCGGTGCGGCGCACGCCCACCGAGTTCACGCACCAGCACACGGACGTCTGATTGCACTGCCGCGCCTTGAACCGGCCCTGTGGGTCGCACTCGGGGTCGTAGAGACCGTCGTTATCCACGATCGCTTGCTCGCTGGGCCGCACCAGGCTGCGGCCGTTCTTCGGGGCGCTCATGCGCGCCTTGAGCAGCAGGCACTTGGAGGTCAGAGTGGCGCAGTCGACCACCGCGCGCGAGCCGAGCGCGCGGCACTGGCACTTGCCGCCGGGGCCGTCCTGGCCGCAGATGGTCATCTTGTTGGTGGGACACGTGCAGTTGCCCTGCGCTGCCGCGAAGCGGGTCACCGCCGCCACCATCAGCAGCACCAGCAGCGGAGGCGCGAGCGCGGGGCCCCTAGCCATGGTGGGGCGGAGGAGCGCGACGGACTAGGACAGAGCTGGGGGGATTAGCCGACTCAGGCTGGCCTCGGACACTGCGCGTCTGCCTCCGGGCCGCTCCCTCCTGCTCTTATACTCCACCCGACCTGCCCGGCTACTCCGCCGCGACTCATCCAATGGAATTTGGGTGATACCCCACCCCGCCTCCTTGTCCCACGGAGGGCCCCGCTAGCCCTGCACCTCTTCAGACTGGATTAGTCCCGCCTCCTCCCCACCGAAAGCCGGGAGAGGAACACCGATACTCACCTCCCTCTGCGGGCCCGCCCCCCAGTCCTGTCCCACTCCCGCCCCGCCCCCGAGGACCGCCCTGTCGCGGCAGGGACCTGGGGCGTCGCTGCCACCTCTACCCCCTCCCATCCCGTGCCATGGCCACGCCCCTCCAGACCCTAGACTCCCAGACCCCTCCTTTTCTCTCTCCCAGCTCTTACCTTCAGGCTCTTTCCCGCCCTCTGTTCTTGTCCCAGAACTTTTCGTTATTAACACGAATGTATACAGTTTGCTGGTCACCGACGTCCTCACGCCTGTCAGGACAGAAACAGACTGTCTCTCAGCCCTGTTCTACCTGAGACCTCACAGATGTGGCAAGGAGACCTGAAGTCACCAAGTAATTGCGTTCCTAGGACTCCTGCTTTGATTGTAAGTATTTGTCAAAACAAAGTGGTGCAGTATCTGGAGAAAGGTTAGAGAACCAATTATGCTACCACATCACCTGTAAGATCCAGTCCTTTCCTGGTGTGCCATGTATTAAAAGTTCTATTAAACACTTTTCACACACACACACACACACACACACACACACACACACACACACATACTTATGCCTGTCCTTGGTAAAGAGAAAAAATGAAAAGGGTCAAATTCTTAGAGTGAAGTCCACAAAAGGAGATCTTGTACAATTTGGTTCTAAGAGCATATTGCTGCTTTTCTCTCTGTGCCACCATGTATATTTCTCAGGGCTGAACTATTCAGTATAATGAAAGACTGGAGCCTGTGAGAAACTGCTGGTCTGCGGCTGTGCCTCCTTTAATAGGATGGCTGGGTTGCACTGTCTTTTAGAATCACTGAGAAAGTTCATGGTACCAAAACTGTGGTAAAATTAACAGTAATTAGCAAACTATAATTATTCCCAGGTCGTCCTTCAAAGCACATTTTACATATTCAGCATTTAGTGTGTGCCACTAGTGGTACAAGGGTGTTGACTCATGAAAGCCAGCCAGGCCTCTGCCCCATTAATTTTCAAGCAATTCCTGGGGCAGGTAGATGCAAACATATTATTTTAAAGCCTTTAGAGACAGAGGAAGGAGAGACATGAGGGACAATTGCCTACCCACTAACACCAGCAGTTGTGGTGCTACTCCTACTGTTCCTTGAACAGCCTAGTCAGTTTCCACTTCCTTTTCTCTTGTCCATCCACCCTGCCTGTGCCCAAACCTGTGCCCAGCTCCTCTTCTGAGAATGTGTGTGTGTGTGTGTGTGTGTGTGTGTGTGTGTGTGTGTGTCAGGGGGCAGGGGGGAGCACATCTTGGCTCTCAGGATAAAATTCATACTTTCTAAATCAGAAGAGCATGATGACCTAGGCAAGCTATGTAGCTTCTCAAGCACTTACCTTTCACTAAATGTGAAACACCCCTTTCACTAAATGTGAACACCCCTTTGTAGTATCTGTTGGGGTGGCATCTGCAAAGAGTAACCATGGATACTGTTCACTGCTGTCATGGATACTCTCCTGGGACAGGTAAGTATCACCGCCTATGCCAGCTGTGGATCTCCATCCCTGCCTTAATCCACTTTCCAAATTCCAAATGCCTAGTTTCAAGAAAGACTGGGTAATGATGCCCTAAGAGTTACTTTGATCATGATTCTAAACTTTTATTGGCCTTGTACCTGTGGGAATGTGGTCTGATGAGGCCAAGAGCAGTCAGTGATTCTATAGGCAAGTTGTATGTTTAAAAGAAAATGGCCTTTGGATTCAGTGAATCTTAGGTTTAAATGCTGGCTTCACACAACTTACCATACTGGCTGTATGGTTTTGAGCAAGTTATTTAACTACAGTGGTCCTGTTTGCCTGATTGTAAAATGGAGGTATTAATGGCTTATATTAGCCCAAAGTCTAATTTTCCTTCTTGTTATTAACAAAATATCCACACACACAAAGTACATAAAATAGAACAAGAACAACTGAAGTGTGAAGTGTGTGTGTGTGTGTGTGTGTGTGTTGCTGAGGATTGAATTCAAGGCCTTATGCATGCTAGGCAAGCTTTCTACCACTTGATTTATAAACTTTTCATAATTATCTAATCCTTCTGAGTGCAAAATTAAGATCAACATGTGACTTCGCATGAGCTATAAAAACAAAACTCACAAGCTGTTTCATTAAATAAAAAAATCAATGCTTAACTTTCAGAATTATTTTAATGATTCAAGATAAAAGATACAGAACATTTAACCCAGTGGTTGGCAGGCCAGAAGTAGAAGGTCGTAGTCATTACCTTCAGAGGACTCTGGAATGTGAGAATGATCTGAGCTCATTAAAGGGTTCTGCACCAAGCCAGTGATGATGGAGATCAAGTCCCTGGAGTTGGCTGGGATGAGTGCAGCTGAACTCCACTCCTGACTCCCAGGATGCAGGCATACAGATTATCTAGATGCAGACAGCACTTTGATATATTATTATCTGCTAGGATCCCTGCAACACCCCTGGGGAGTGGATGGGAAGATATTATTATCCTTGTCTTACAGATGTGGAAACAGATGCCTTGGGAGTGGAGGGGGAAACTGGCCTAGGGTCACATGCTGGTAAGTGGTAAGGCCCTGTCTAGAATCTACATCTGACTATGAATGCATATAGAAATGAACAAAAATGGAGTTAGCACACAGGTGAAAAAGATTAAAGTTGTCTTTTCTCCCTTCCTCTCTTTCTACAAATAGTTTTAGAAAGTTCTGTCCTCATAAAGAATGAACAAATAACTTATTATGTAGAGCACTGCTGGGAGCCCAGGGTTTGGGCCATTAACCACTAGTTCCTCATACTTTGAGGGGAAATGGTCCTGAGGTCTGTATTTTGCTGCAGAGAAACTGCCTGTGATGAACCTTGAGCAGGTCCCTCTCCATGATTTCCCTTTTCCCAGAATACGGATACTGGTTACCTCTTACAATATTGTAAGGACTGGGGGTATGGAGCCTGTAAAGCTGCCCTGTGCTGCCTTGGGAGGACTGAGGTCTCTTTTTCCTTGTCTGAATGCTGTCAAGACTCAACCTCCACAAGAAGTTTCTGTGGAGAGAGTGTACAGTGCAGCAAGGCCAGGTGGGATTCCCTTCCTCCTTGGAGGGTGGTGGAGCTCAAGAGGAAGCCAGATGTGGACAGAGCAGAGGGAAGTCAGCTGCCCCGACTGCTCAGCATGGAGGAGGGAGGCCTCCAGGAGCAGAACTTGAGAAAAGGGTGGAGTACAGAGAACAGACAAGGTCCACATTGTGTTTTCTGCTCTTTAAACATGTGACTCAAGTACTGGGGGATAATAGAATTCAAAGGAGCCGGGGGATGGACACACTTTATATTTTCTATTTGTTTAAAGTATTTGTAATAAAATAATTCATGTTGTCAATATCACAAGGAAAGTTTTGGATGAAGCATTTTCCATTCATTGCTTTCTCTATTTCCATGTCAACTACCATGTATTGATATCATGTTATAAATCCTCCATCGTCTCCCAGCAACTCTACGAAATCATTACTCTTGTCCCCATTCACCTGGGCAGGATACTAAGGTTTGAGATCACACATCTAGGAATCAGTGAAGAAGGGGTTTTGAACCCAGGTCTGATGACATGAATACTTTTACCAGTTTTAAAGACGCATTCCTGCTGTGTAAGCCAGCAGGTCTGGAACTTATAGACCTCCTGCCTTCATCTCCCCGGTGCTGGGCATCCAAGTGTGTACCACCAGCCCACTTACAAGAACTTTTTCTGCATGACACAATGCAGTTTCCTCTGAAGATTTTTGAATGAGCCAAGCCAGGTCAAAGACATTGGAATGAGAAGCAGAGTGTCGTTTGGGTGTTGCCTACCTAGGGAATGTTTGCTTTTCCACTTTTCTGGGAAGGGGACACATTACATTTCTTTTTGACTTGTTCATTCAAATCTGCAAAGCATCTGTGGCCCACCTGGAAGTGTGTCATGGTTTCCTTTCAGTGTCTCCAATCTATGTATGTTCTTTTCTCCATGGTTTCAAATTGCATACCATTCATGGGCCCATCTCCTTCTGGTTTCTCCCTCTAGGAGTAGTTGGCTCTTTTTCCAAGGGCTTTATAGTCAAGGGGTCGGGGCAGGGGCAGTAAAGTACCCACTAACTTTGTGCTCCTTGTGTGGTTAATCTCACTGGGTGAAATTGGCATCCGTGATGAAGGGTTGGGAAACCTTGTCCCTGGGCTCCTACGGAGCTGGAACTCACTGAGATGAGTCACAGTGCTTCCTTTCCCAGGGCTGCCCAGGTGATGTGTGAAGTCCCAATGACGGGTAGGTGCCAGCGGTTGCTGTTTCTATGCGCTTCTGGAATCCTGGAGATAAGGCATGTGACCAGAGGTCTCAAATGTGCTGCTGCTACCCCCTGTCAGCACTCCTTTCTGGGCCATCCTTACCCAAGCTCTGCTCCTTAAGATTACTGAAAGAAATCCTAGAGGACATGCCTTTTATACAGAGCACCCCAGTGCGAGTCCTACAAGGCTGCTTCGGCACTGCCTGTGACAATGAAGCATCCACAGTCCATTATTAGAGAGTTCATCATGGAATGCAGGGGTGTTGTAGGCCTCTGTAATTTTCAAAAGCCGAACCTGCTTTTGCCTCAGAGCAATAAAGAAGTGGTTTTCATCTCTAGCTCGTTGGTTCCTTGGGTTCCAGCTCTCCTGTCTCCCAGCTCCTTCCCTTCCCCTCTCAGATTTTCCCCTTGCTTTCCAATTTCCTCATCTCTGTCTCCTGCAGACCTCACTTCCTGAGTTACTGGTAGCATTGTTTTGTTTTCACCAGTGATCCAGCTAAAACATGACATCAGATGACCTGGCAGTTGGGGAGGTACCAGC